TAAGCCAGGGGTCCTCAAACTACGGCCCGCGGGCCACATGCAAATACAAATATTGTATTTGTTCCCGTTTTGTTTTTTTACTTCAAAATAAGATATGTGCAGTGTGCATAGGAATTTGTTCATAGTTTTTTTTTAAACTACAGTCCGGCCCTCCAACGGTCTGAGGGACCGTGAACTGGCCCCCTGTTTAAAAAATTTGAGGACCCCTGTGCTAAAGGGTAGACTAAACCATGTCCGGGTCCCGTGAACCTGATAATTCCCGTGAACGATGGGAGAGGGCAAAGAAAGCACTCTGTTGGCTCAGAGCCAATGTAGACGCCAGGTCAGAGACTCACACCAAGCTACAGGATCAAAACATGTGAACCACTTGATCATCATTACAAGTATGATATCGAACAATGACACTGGGAGCACATGCAGCGTGACAGTGCCCAGCGACGCGTATGGAACACAGCAGGTGTCCCTGAGTCCTTGTGAATATGAATCCAGCCCTTTACCTGCCTTACTTTGGTCCACCCCACGAGGCAGATGAAATGATCCCCGATGAATAGGAACTGACGCGAGAAGCGAAGTAACTTGCCTGAGATCACAAGCCTCGTTAGCGCAGTCAGAACCCTCACTGGGCCCAGGCATGCGGGTCAGTGGCTGGCACTGACCTCTCCCCCAGACCCGTGCAACTACCCGAGGGCACAGAGGCCTGAGCCTCTAGCACAGCGGTTCTCAACCTGTGGGTCGCGACCCCTTTGGCGGTCGAACGACCCTTTCACAGGGGTCGCCTAGCCGTGCCAGCTGTGGTTAAGCATCGACCACTGAATCAGGAGGTCACGGTTCGATTCCGGTCATGGCACATGGCCAGGTTGCGGGCTCGATCAATAAAATACATCAAAAGAAAAAAAAGAAAAGAAGACAAGACAGAGCGCACATGGTTGCCAGCGAACAGGTGAGATGCAGACACCCTTCTTGGTGACGCTGGACACCTTTGTGATTTCCTGCTCTGTGGACAACCAGCTGCAGGCGGCTGCGCGCAGCCACTTCACGGAGCGTTTGTTCTGAGTGCTCCCTGTCACCATGGTAACCCAGAAGCCTTTCAGGCTGGCACTGTGCACGCACAGGGCCTGCATCCATCCCATCTGGGGTGGGAATGTGTCACCATAGAAACAGCTTCCCCCACCTTACCAAAGGGCTGTTTGATAGACAGGGTGGGGGTGGAGGGGCTGGGAGCTCAGGGCTGGGGCAGGACGCACCTTGGCCAGGCTGGCAGTGAAGAGAACGCACTCAAAGAGCTGGCCCATCCTCTGGAGGAACTCGTCCACGTGCGGCCGCTTCAGCACGTACACCTGCAACGGCAGGAAGCAGCGAGCGGCGTGAGAGCAGGCACTGGGGATGGCCCGCGTCCAACCGCCAGTGCAGGGAGGGTTCCTAAAATGACCCATGACCCCGCCTCCTGCCCGCGGGGTCTATGAGCCGGAAGAAGACCCAGATTTTTATGAGGGGCTCGTACTCTGGTGTGGCACTTCACGCCAGACACACACTCAGATTGGGCTCTGGGTCTGAGTCCGGTGTCAACGCCCCT